GTGTTTTTTCATTTAATAGAGTAAAAAATCCCCACACAGTTTCATTTTCTATCACCGTCCTAGTTGCTGTACATCCTGTAATAAAATTCTTGACATTAACATGTGTAAGGTATAATTGTAGTCATTATAAAGAACATTTGCCACTTGGCAATGTCTGGACCTGTTAATCCTTTTGCTCGTGCTTAGTAATGTTCCCTTCATCATTTGGAAAATATAGGAGCTTATTAATTTAAGATCATAGGTGTAAACACTATAGTTTTTCACATTTTCAAAATGTTATACTGGGAACTGTTAACGATATTTGTGAAGAGTACCATAAGAATAAAACTGTTAATCTGAAGCCTATTAAATTTTTATGGTAATGTTACTTTCTTCACACACTCGTGATTTCTGATTTTTCTTTACCTTCCCTCTTAACAATTAATACAGCTTACTGGACCTTGTGGTAATGTAACTTAACCATTCCTTTACGGGCTGGGTGGAATCAACCCAGCTTGTAACCATGAGAGTAATTATACTATGTAATGCACATCTTTACAAAATGTTGCAGGTTACTGGTAAACATTACAAGGTTTTTGTACACAAAACATCAGGTTTTTAAATTAAATATTAAGATTTTTTAATTAAAGATTTTCTCAAACCTTTTTCTTTCAGAATGTTGACTATTCAACATGCAAATCAATTTTGATTTTAAGATTAAAAATACTTTAATGCAAACTTTCAAATTTCACATGCTAAATCTTTATAATCTTCAGATAATTATAAATTTTTTTGTAGAAAAACTTTGTTTTATTTGCTATTTTCACTACTCTAATTCTGTACGGGTTGGTTCAATTTGACCGACTTCGTAACCTCAATAAAAAATTAGGAAAAAAAATATAAATTATGCTTTTTTTGTTCTAGAATGACTACAAATTATAACACTAAACACACATTTTTAATATAAATAGCTTAAATCTCATAACATTATATATTTATTATTTTTATTATATTAACCTTCCAGCCATGTCTGGCTAACAGTACAGAGGTTACAATGATGCAGAGCACATGCACTCGTGTTACCGTATCCAATAATATATAACTGACATTTAATCTTTACAAAGTGACCTGTCTTGGCTGTGTTTGAGTGAACAATTATTTTGTAAAATACAGTCACATTTGAATTATTATACATTATTTATGTATATACATTATTTATATTTACGAATAAGTTCCTAAACTAGTTTTTATTTAAACCATAGAACAGTAAATAAAGAAGTAAAGCAAACAATTATCTCTTCTAGTTACGACCTTTGTACTCGTTTGCCACTTGTTGTAGATTGCTAAGCCTTATGAAATTTCCCACATGGAGGATGTGAAAAGAAATTTTTTTTAGATTTTATATATATACATTTTAAATAACCAAAAAAATAATAAATTACTATATTGATACCATAGAATTCCACTATAATTTATCAAGCGTAGTAACTAAGCTGTATTTGGGTCTAAAAAAATATGAAATTTCGAGCAGACTAAAGACTTACCCCATTGTTTGAAATCTTGTGTGAAAAGAACAAAATTAGCACAATGATATGCCAAACTAGCTGAGAAAACCACTAGGGGACATTCTGAACTTTTGATTGGTTATTCATGTCATATATAGAAGTAAGTGTATATAAGGGACTATTTCCAAAAATGGGAAGGGGGGCTCTACTGTATTTGATTCAGTATAGGAGTGATATCTTAGGAAATAGAAAAGATAAGAGGTTCTTATTTTATATTCTAGCTTGTCAATATCAGTAGTTTGAGTTCCTAATTCATACGAAACTGTAGTTTTTGTATTTTGACATTGCATACATCTAATTTGAACCAGTGCTGCATTCAATATACCACGTGACACACAAAAATTGATGTTTAGCTGTGTTTTTTAATATTTACTTTTAAATTAAGAAATTGAGTAATGTATAATTCTAAAATCTGAATTATAATGTACAATTTGATACCAAACTTATTGACGTATATTCATAAAATTTTGAATGCAAGTCAACAAACACGATGACATGGCCTCTGACACGTGACCCGTCTCAGTAGGGTGAATGGGCATTACATTACATTCTTTTAGCTTTATTTCTTTTGGATACTGCATATAGTGGTCATTTTTTTCTTATGACGTCATCTTTTGATAATGTAACAATTGGATTTTTAAGTGGTGTGAATATGTTTTTGGTTGTAACTAAGTGTAATTGACAGAAACCTAAAGTACTAAGTCTTACTTGTCTTTTGACGGTGTTTTTATCCTGATCTGTTACCTCTTTCAGTTTATTTTTTTGTCATATTTCCTACCCTGTTCTTACAACAGAGATATACTTCAACGTTGTTAAAAATGCATAAGATATGTAAAGAGGTATAATTTGTTCTTTTCATTATCTTGATAATCTCTTTCTTTATAGCCGTCAATTTGATTGTGATTGAAAGAAGGGTAAATAACTATTCAATAATTGTTTTCAAGTGTTAAAAGCACAAACAAACACTAAGATATGGACAGAAAAATGCTGCTTATAACTGTGATATATTTATGGTTAAATGAACAAAGTTTATGAAACATCTTTTTCTGTGTTGAAAATTCCTCTTTCAAACTTTATATATGTAAGTTAGCACGGTTTTACTTTAAGTTGCACAATGTGTGTGTAAAGCTACACCTGTGATAAATGAAAAAAATATTCAAAAGAGAAATTGCCCAGATGTACAGTGTTTATTTATCTAGTTGTTGTTTGAATATTGTTTTTGAGATATTCTTGTTGTAATCAGGTAATGAAAGTTCCTCCACATGAGCTTCGACGTCGTCTGTTTATTACATTCAGGGGAGAAGAAGGATTAGACTATGGAGGAGTAGCAAGGTAGGACTAGGAATTGTAATGTCTCATGCACAGGTTTTATAACCCCATTTCATGATTTATGAACAAATTTAATTTTAACATCTCGGAAGTAGTTGCATACTCCATCAGACAGATTTGCACATATTGTTGTTGGAACATTATTTGTTGAAGTATATGTTGTCAGTTGCTACACTAGTTGTTCCTAAGCACGTGTTCATCCTCATTTAACACGCAAATATGTTTTATAAAAATGTTTATATTTAAAGTGTGTTGATTATGATACTTTCATATAAATACCAGAACTGAATTGGTTCCTGTTATCAGCCAGTTTTTGTAGTCTATTGAATGTTTCTTTTATCATTAACTCTTATTCATTACCTGCAGTGCCATTAATTTTAAAATTGTTGTCATGTTGATGTACTATTGAATTGTTCATATCCTCAGTTAGAATTCACTCATTTTAACCCTCATTTATAATTGAACCATTTCTCTTACGTCAAGTGTAAAATTTCCTTTCTTAAACACTTCATTTTAGTATATCATTGCTCCTGTAGTGTTGGGGATGAGGTTGTGTTCGATGTACTACAAGAATATTGTTCACTTCCATTAAGGAACAGTTATATCACAACAGAGGTTGTGCTGGATGTACTACAAGAACATAATTACCACTGAGGAACATTATAACATCACAACAGAGATTATGTTGGATTTATTACAAGAAGATTGCTAATTCCCATTAAGGAACATAGTAACATTACAATAGAGATTGTGTTAGATGTATTACAAGAATATTGTTCTCTCCCAATAAGGAACATAGTAACATCACAAGAGATTGTTGGATGTTGTACAAGAACATTGTTCACTCCTATTAAGGAACATAATAACATCAAATCAGAGATGTGGTGGATGTATTACAAGAACATTATTCACTCCCATTACGGAACATGTAGATCACAGTGGAGATGTGGTGGATGTATTACAAGAACATTATTCACTCCCATTACGGAACATGTAGATCACAGTGGAGATGTGGTGGATGTATTACAAGAATATTATTCATCCCCATTAAGAAACATAATAACATCATAGTGGAGATGTGGTAGAATGTAAAACTTTAGGATTTTTTAAGATCATTGGTACTGCAGATAATAAACATATGCTAACGATAAAATAAACTTTTAACTCTATAAACAATGGAAACTGGTTTTTTACTCTATTGGGACCCAAGGGCAGGTCTCTGGTGTCAAGGTCACATTTGCATATCAACTTTCACAATTTAAGTGAAAATAGTAATTCTAACTATTTTGACCATTTTTTTTCTCGACTATCAAAAAACTTATATTTTGTAACTTTGAAAGATGTATATAGTGTAACTTGTAGAGAAAAATTAAAAACATTTTTGAATTTTAATTCCTTGTAAAAGGTGCTTTTACAAAATTTTCTGCCAATCCCAAAAAAAAGGGTTTTTTTTTTTTTTAATTGGTCATACCCTGTCATCTTTTAGCAACAGACTTGTCGTGTTTGATATTTTGCATGACTCATTTTCTTTGTGCTGTTAATTTTATCAACTTCATGTTGAGAGACTTTTATGATGTTACACCAAGTGTGTTGGACAGTAACTAATAAACCTTACCCTTCAAATCTGACAGAACCAACAGGTAAAAATTATTGGGTCGAAAAGATTCTTGTTATTGACATCAGTGTTAAATAAAGTGGGGTAAGCAGTTATTTAAGGTTTCTGTGAAAGTGACTAGCAGAAGTTCTTATAGTGGAGAACAAATTCTAATACAAAGTTTGGAACAAGCCACCAATTTGGGAATTTTTTATATAGTTTATTTTGACAATTTGTTTCTTCATTATAATTTATTTGTGTTATATATCTCCTTTAAAGATACAACAATATTTTTTTTTAGAAGATGTCAGGTAAAGATATTTAAGGTTAATGAGTACAGTAAACTAAGAGTTGTGCCATGGCAAACTATTCAGATGACAGAAAAGCTATTTTATTTGTGTGTATTAGTAAAATGATTGTTACTCAACACACATAAGTACACCTTAGTTATTGAAAACAAAATTATCACAGAGAAATCGAGCTTGACCAAAAATTTAGAAGAAAAAAATATTGCCTATATTAGTGTAGACCTAGGGTACAAGTGCAAATTGTGTTTCTATCAGTCAGTGGTTTTTACTGTTCATCAGTGTTTTTTGCTCTTTCTTGCAGCTTCTGTAAGTAAAAATGAATAATAAATATATAAATAACTGATGAAAGTAAAACAAGTTAGAACTCATTGAATATATAAAATGAAACTTTCTGATTAATATTATTAAAAACTCCCATTTTATTTACTTATTTCATATTTTTTAAATAGTAATTGTCTTTGTGTGTAAGAGCTTTCATGGACAAATGGAAAAAATGATTATGCTGCTACCAGGACAAAACAGCCACAACAGTTAGTTTTATTGAGAAAATAACTATTGGATTACATTTCATAATCTTAGGAACACAGTAAAAGAAAAATGGAAGCTCTACAATGAAACAGTTGTTTTTTTAACATTTTTTAAAAACAGCATTAAACAAGAAAATTTTCAAATATTCAGAACCTAAAATGCTATACAAATATTTCTTTTTTCAAGTAAAACTACATATTTATGTATAAAGCTTACCAAATTTCATGCAATGATATTAAGCAATTTAAATGTGAGAACAAAACAAATGGGTGATGCTATGTCACCCTGCCAGCCAAGAAAGGTTTAGTGATAACCATTCGTTTTTGTTTCTCTGTTAATACTTTAAGTCCAACTTGATTCTGCTAATTTCGGTGTTATATTTTTATCTTGTCTTGCAGAGAATGGTTTTTCACACTATCACATGAGGTACTTAATCCAATGTACTGTTTGTTTGAATATGCTGGAAAAAATAACTACAGCCTGCAAATCAACCCTGCATCCTCTGTCAATCCTGACCATGTGTCTTACTTCAGGTTCATTGGACGTTTTGTTGCTATGGTGAGGAAGATCCAGTTATTGCAGATATTGAAAATATTAATTTTTTTTTAAATATCCTAAATGTGATCTGTTCAAAATAACCAAACATTCTATTTTTATTTTCAAGTGTTAGCTTCTGAAGTTTCAGACAAAAATATTGCTGAGCTTTAAAGCTTTTTTATTTTTTTTACACAATTTTTAGCTACAATCAGTGAGTGATGAATTTTCATTAGAAAGAAATTAATTTTAACTTATTTTGTGGATCTTGAATCCTGCAAATCTATAAATTAAGTTTGGTACATGTAGTTTTTAATACTTTTAAAGAAACTATTCATATATAGTGTTTCTATGCTGTTTTTCTAACAGGCTCTTTTCCACGGGAAGTTCATCTACAGTGGTTTTACTCTTCCATTCTACAAACAGATGTTAGGAAAACAACTGACAATGAAGGACATTGAATCCATTGATGTCGAGTACTATAGCTCGTTAGTATGGATCAAGTAAGTTATAGTCCACATTACAGAAAGAGGTTTGTAAACTAAACCAATGAATAGATGTGTAATACATTCTACATCATAATTTTTACCTGCATATAGTCTAGAATGTTATGAATTAGGTGTAAGGAGGTAAGAATGTTCAATTCTGTTCTGTTGAAATGTTTAAATACACAGGTTCCAGAAAATATAGTAGTTATATATCACAGTGGTGAGAATATGGTTTTATTGGTTTTTTTTATCATAGTTATCCCTATTTTATTTTCACTATGATAGAAGATAACAACAGATCAGTTATAGAGAAGTATGATTTCTTCACTTAATGATTGTGTGTACAAAATACTTGCCATAACTGTGGTAATAATGATGTTCTAACAGCTTTTTTTTGTATTTCAGAGCTAGTTTTATTAGCTTTTTAATGTTAATTTATTGATTACAATGTCTTTCAAGTGAAACAACATGCAGCCACAAGCTTACAATTATCTGATTTACAAGACTGTGTATAAAATGTGTCAAGAAACCTGAAGCTCTGGGACCAATTGTCCATGACTTGAGAAGAATGTGTGTGTGTTTATATGGAAAGAATTTGTCATTAGCATTATTACTGTCTTTATGCAGTGTTGCATTATTACTGCCATTACGCAACGTTGCATTATTACTGCCATTACGCAATGTTGTATTGCATTATTACTGCCATTACGCAATGTTGTATTGCATTATTATTGCCATTACACAACGTTGTATTATTACTGCCATTACAGGGAGAATAACATTGATGAACTTGAGATGGAAATGTACTTCTCAGTGAACTTTGAAGTTCTTGGGGAGGTGATGTCACACGACCTGAAACCTGATGGTGGAGAAATTAAAGTTACAGAGGAGAACAAGGATGAATATCTGAGGTATATCCTGATTTATTTTACTATTAAAGGCATAAGGTTCATTAAGCCAAAAATAGAATAACTAGCAAAAAAAATAGAATAGTTAAAATCAGTGTTCTCATGTTAAAATATTGTTATTTCCATAGGTTAAAAAAAAGGGAAGAAAATTTGATTAAAATATATATATATATATACATATAATCAAGTGGAGCTTCCAAAATGCACTGCTAAAACAGAAGGGTTAAATTTAAAACAGATTTAGTTGTTTTTTGGAGAGTCATGAGTTTGAATCCTGTTCCTGAACACACTCACACTTTCAGCCATGAGGACATTATAATGTGATGGTCAATCCCACTATTCATTGGTAAAGAGTAGCCCAAGAGGTAGTGATGGGTGGTGTTGACTAGCTGATTTCTCTCTAGTCTACCACTTCAAAATTAGGTAAGATGCAGAGAGTCCTTGAGTAGCTTTATGCAGAATTTGAAACAGACTTTTAAAAATAATTTATATCTATTGCTTTATCTATAGACCTTCAACAATGTTAATCATCAACTGTTCTAACACCAGGAAATAGGACATAGCAGTGGAGTTGGCATTTGTCCCTTTGGTATCCAGTGGAGTACACCCATTTTCTAAGGGTGAAGTTGCACCCTTAAATTAAAACAAGTATAGAAGATAAACTTTAAGCATTTTCTCATGAATTTTTTAAAAATACTGCAGAGTTGAAATTAATTCATTGAAAGAGTTTTATTTAATTTTGTATAAAGATATTAAAAAAAATTGTATTTTGGGCTGACTTCATTGCACTCTAAACAAAAACATTAGTGCCTATGAATTTTTCTGGGCATAATATGGCACTCCTAGCCCCCCCAGCAGAAATGTGGAAATGACGTTGTACAAAACAGCACCTTGTAACTTTGATAAAAGTGTAGTTTTATCAATTCTAGTCAATCACTGTTTTTTGGCACCATCATAACTGAGGTTATGTAAATTTCCTGTATCTCAGCTTTGAGAAGTTATGGCTTGTGTCTGAACACTCAATGAAAGCTCTTTTTATGTTCCTTTTGAGTGTATGAGCCATTATGGCTTCTAGATCATTACAAAATTGTGTAGAGATTAGAAGGTAGTGTTGGAAGTTTAGCTTGAAGAAATGATGTTTATAAGCAACTGCCACGTTTAGTCTTGATAGTTATGGCTTGTGTCTGAACACTCAATGAAAGCTCTTTTTACGTTCCTTTTGAGTGTATGAGCCATTATGGCTTCTAGATCATTACAAAATTGTGTAGAGATTAGAAGGTAGTGTTGGAAGCTGCCACGTTTAGTCTTGATTCTTTTTTAAACTACTTGGTTTGTCATTTTGTTTTTCATTTGAATTATGATAATGCAGTTTTAATGGAAAATGATGAGATTGAGAATTGTTAAATTTAGTTAGATTAATTTGTACTCTATCATAACTTGGTTTGCCAAAAAAACTGCTGTTTATTTGGTAATTTAGTACATTAGACTTTAGTGGGCAAAGAGAATCATAGAAAATAAATTAAAAAGTACATATAATTGAGTATAAAACAGTTAAACTTATTAAATTATATTATCAGATATATTAAATGATTGATTTGTCTGAAAGTATTCATATTTTTCGCTGCGGTATAGCGGCTCTTAGAATGGCTGTGTTTTTTCAAATACAAACGTTTGGCTCACAGCTCCATCATCTCTTGACTGATTTGAGATCTAATTACAAGTTTGTATTCAAGAGGTCAAACCCTTTTGATTGGTGTATTTGACCACACCCAAGGTTTCATAAATTAATTTACTTTAATCCTGCATAAAAGAATTTCAGTTTGAGGGTAGGCTGGTAGAGATCCTGATTAGTAATAAAATTGAATCAGGTATATGCGTGCCCCATGCTTGGTATTGCTGATGCACAAAAATATAGCTAATAAAAAGAAAAAAAAAGGTCTTGTAGATTAATTTATTCTAATCCTGCCTAAAAGAATTTCAAGTGCTGTGGCTATTGAGGATTCCTTCATGTTTGAATGACAGAACAATATATTCTGCTTGAAGGTTGGGACACTTAGTAATTTACTAACTATAAATAAACAATCACACACAGATTTGAACTTGGTCAGTGTTCTATCTAGCTTTTATTATCTGAGTTGTTACTTCAAAACTATGTAAATTTTAAGAAAATATATTTTTTTTATTTAGTGTATTTTTGACTTTTACATATCCTGTATCTGCTTACATTGTTTGTAAAAAAAACTTAAACTGAGTTCATAACAACATACTTAAACTGGTCTAAATAAAATATGATTTTCAACATCCATTATGCATTACCATATCAGATTCACCTGAATCTTTTATGTATTCAATCCTTGTTTCATTCTAAAATTCTGGGACAATAAATGCAATAAATTTCTCAACACTACAAGTGTATTTTGTTGTTCTCTATGTATGTACTACCCATCATGAGTGAATATTCACATTAGATAATTCACTCTGAACCCCATCAATTTTTAAACGTTTTTCTAAACTGTTTGTGTACCAAATTACTTGTGGGCTCAAGACGTGGCTGGTTACAGGTTCCCCAATAAGATACAAGTATAGAAAAGAATATAATCAAAAATATTGTCAGTATCACAGTTAATCTTGCTAATTATATATCTTACATAGAAACTGAGTGATTATACACAATCTTTGTGTTCAGTTCTTTACAACTAGTTTTGTAACAGGCAAAAAACTAAATTTCTCAGAATGATTCAATGTAAGGACCTCACTGGTAGTGAATGGTATAAAAAAAGTGTGTAATTTGAGGCTTAATTTGGTTCTTGACATGATTTTTGTAGAATTTCAATTTATAAGAAATACTTTATCAATATTTGCTATATACAGTACTGAGCCAATCATAGCCTAGGGTTATAATGTGCTAGTCTGTAAACCTGAGGGTCCATGGTTCATGTTACATTGCAACAAAAATGAGCTCTGCACTTATGGGGATGTGAGTACATTATAAAAGTGACACCAATTCCCACTATTTGATTATTGTAGCTCAAGAGTTGGCAGTTGGTACTGTTGACTAACTGTCTTTCCTGTCGCTTGTTAGTTCAGAATTAGGAATTGTTAATGCACATAGTCTGTGCATATTTTTGCACAATTTCTGAAACAAACATATACATTATTATAAAGTATTTTATTTTTAAACACCCTCTTTTACATTCACTATCACAGGCTTGTCACACAGTGGAGGTTTTCACGAGGACAAGAGGAACAGACCAAAGCATTTCTTGATGGCTTTAATGAAGTCCTACCTCTGGAGTGGTTGCACTACTTTGATGAAAGAGAGTTGGAGGTATTTATAGTCTAGAGGTCATGATGTAGCATAAGATGTAACATTGTAAGAAGATTAGTTATGAAAAGACACAAAAGATATTAACTAACTTGGACATATCAGTTCTCCTGCTGTGTACCACACATGACATAGCCTTTTTACAAGCTCTAAAGGTTAGCTGTAAAACTGGATAATGCAACACAAAACACTTGGGCACAGTCAAAGCTCCATCAACCAGTACATGTTCTCGTTGTTGGATTTTACTATTGTGTGTTATCTTTTAATGTTGGGTAATCACAGTAGAAAATGTGAATGGTACATCTGAAGAAGAAAGATACTGGTAATCTAATGAGATTGTTCATAGTCACAGCTATTAAATGCCTGTCAGAATGGAACATAACCATTTCTTTTGTCTCCTGATAAATAGAACAGTGATGGATAGCATTAGGGACTCCTTTTTTTAATTTAAAGAAGAAATGAGTTGTTTACAAATTGATCATTATAGTATAGGTCAACATCTCCAAAAAGTAGTTTAAACAAATTATTAGGTTTTAAATTGGTTTACTACTGTTATTTTTAGCCTGTTAATGTTCGTAATGTACGTGTTCTAAAACATATATAATGTCAAGTGTACTTGGTATGTTTTAATACCTTTGTTGTCAGCCGTTAATGTTTCTGTACATGTTCTAAAACATATATATATATATATAATTTTAAATATACTAGGTGTGTTTTAATACCTCTATTGTTAGCATATGTATTTGCTTGATCAGAATTAACTTAAGGGTATTTGAAATGATTTTGTGACTTTATGGTGAGTCTTATCCATATTCCTTTCTAACACTTGCACCTGAAAATTGTTAAATGGTTAATAAAGCTACAATTGTACACATTTATCACAAGGTTTTAAACTGATACATTTCCACAGAAAACAGTGTTTATATAGTTTTAAAAAAAGTAAAGACTTGCTTAAATAATCAATGAAAGACAAGTTAAACTTTCCCCATTGAATTTAAAAAAGATTTCAAAATGGTAATAGTAAATATGTAACTATTTCCATAGCTAATTTAAAGTAATGTATGATTTATATGATATCATTTAAAATAAATATTTTTGAAATTTTTCTAGACTGGAATAGAAAAATAATAAAGCAATAATTTCTCAAACTCAAATAGATAAAAGGCAGATGTTAAAAGAAGGATTAAAAATATGTACTTTCTAAATAATAAGGTAATTATTATATCTACAGATTTATCTTTCTTGTTTTTGATGAAAAATTATTAACTTTTGTAAAGTGTTATTCATTTGTAATCTGTTTCAGTGAATGTTAATTATTCCAGTGTCCATGTGAAAAATGAATTAGGACAAAGTGTGTACATTGTGCATGTTAGTAATAATGTTATTCAGTTGATCAGGCACTGAGCTAGAAAAAGTTGGTGAATTCCTTTACACTGTTGAAGTGCGAGTGTTAAACTTCATAGTATTCGGTTATGAAAATCTCTCTGTGGGGACATTTTGTGTTTCTTAGCTAGAAATTAGTTTGCACTGAGGTTTGTATTTATACATAGTGAGTAGTATGGGGAAGTAGGGAGAGATTTGAATTATAGTTAATATTTAGGCCATTTGATAGATGTTGCCGTAAGCCCCTGGAATTTTGATAAAGGGGTTATGACCAAAAATATTGCTAACAATGAGGGTGTCAAACTGGTGAATTGGTGCATTCTAATTATTATAAGTTTTTGTTTTATGCATACTCATAGTTAAACTATTATATAAAATTAGCTATATTAATTATTGGGTTAATTTTTATTTTCCAATCTTTGTAGGCATCTCATTATGATCAGAAATTAATGATAACTGATTTGGTTAGAATTTTAAGTGTATGATTTAAATGGATTACTGGAACAAGACTTAGTATTTTAATAGAAAAAAAAAGTTGCACTCCTGGAAGGTTTTTTTTTTTTCCTTTTTATTCATTTTAGATTTAAAAATACTAATTTAAAACATTGTTAATCATCCTGTATAAATAATATTACAGTTGATGTTTGCACATGCAATGTAATGTTTTTAAATTTGCACAACTTTGTTTTTACTAGTTAATGCTTTGTGGGATGCAAGAAATTGACGTAGATGACTGGCAACAAAATACTATTTATCGACACTACACTCGCACTAGCAGACAGATTGTGTGGTTTTGGCAACTGGTGCGGAAGATGGACAATGAAAAGCGTTCACGACTACTTCAATTTGTGACAGGCACATGTAGGGTGCCAGTAGGTGGATTTGCAGAATTAATTGGTAGGTTGTTTTTACATTAAATTCTTTTAGCTTATATAGTTGCTGTTTAAATATTTTTTTTGATTTAACAAGTTAGCAGCATTAAAAACTAGTTATCTATTTATTAATTTTTACAACTTATTTTGGAGCCATTTAAATTACATCATTCTTAATTCTATTTTAATGTGATGTCATATCACACTTACATAATACTGCTAATAATACTCTGTGCAGTGCTTTTGACTTGAATACACAATAGAATTAGCTAATGCTTCATTCAATGCTCAATGACAATGTTTACCCAATAGCTTGGGACAAGTAAGATATACGTACAGACCTGTTGCTGATGTAATACACGTGGCCGATGGGACTAGCAGCTTGTTTATTGCATATCTACTTTATTTTGACTTTTTGACATACGCAATTGGTTTGTTGCTTTCGCGTGATGAAATTATGATATTAGTTTTGTAAACTCAACATGCTCAATTTGTTTATTTCTGAAAGCAGAAAAGGAAATAATTTCACAGCCAATCAGGAAATTATTTTCTTTCTCTGCAGGTTCACATTAATCCGCTGCCCAGTTTGTTGTTTTGAAGGCTGTACAATAGAGGTATCATTCCAATTGAAAGCTTTTTTTTGAATGTGTGTACATTATACTCACAGTATTTTATTTAATGGTATAAGTCATGAGTTTGCCCTGTAGTAGATCTCTGAACTTTGGAGCTGGCAAGTAGGGTTTGAATCTTTGTAATACCAAAATATATTCCCTGCACCTTAAAACTTTTGGGTCAATCCCTTATCATGGATGATGGGCAGTAGAGTGCTGTTGACTGGTTGTTGTCCCTCTGGTCAGTAGCTCAAAATTAGGGATGGCAGCACAGAACCTTAATAGCTTTGCCATAAATCCAAAATATTACTTATTCAATAAATATATAAATATTTTTAGTAATTATTTGCTATTTACATTTTTAAAATATTAATGGCTTTATAGGTATGTTTGTAGCTGAAAAATCATGAAAAATAAGTGTTTTGTGTACACCTTGTTTTATTAGCAAAATAATTCAATGCGACTATCCCTGTTATGGCCAGTAAACTGAATGTGCAAGTGGCTTAAAGTAAATGTAGAGTGATAATTAACTGTTTTGTCAATGTGCATTTAAAAATTCCAGGTGAAAAGTTATTTTTTACTGCTAAGTGAGAATCATGTTATAAAATGATTGTGTATAGCCTCTATATGACTTGTTTTGTTGTTTAAGAGATTACATATAGTGTATGCCACAAGACACAACCAAAATGCTCTGTTGTCATGCGAAGTTTGGAAGGGTAACTTGAATACATTAACCATTTTAAACACAAACAAATCTTAAAAATGATTTGGGTATTAACCCATGTAGTTAATGTGTTAGGTATGATGTATACATGTTTTTTGCACACAGATTATTACTTAGTTAATATATCAAAGTTATGATTAAGCTGGATAAGCATTGGAAATCTGTAGGTCTAACATTGTGATAAGAATCATATAAGCTGCATATTTGTCTTGTTCCTCATAACTTGTCCGTTTCAGATATGAAATCAGAAAAAACTTGTATTTTACGTTATTACACAAATATTTGTCCAGATCAACTTTTGTCCCATACTGTGCAACTCTGCTAATTAGTTCTGGTTGTTTTTTTTTTAAATACTCACCTTAGACTTTTAATGTGAAATGGACATATTAAGAGGTGTGTGAAAAAACATTTGTAGTTCAGATAGTAATTAGTGTTTATTATTTCAGGATGCACTGTTGTGTGTCAATTTTTATCACTCTGTTACACATGCTTTTTTCCAAACAGGGAGCAATGGACCTCAGCGATTCTGTATAGAGAAAGTTGGAAAGGACACCTGGCTCCCACGCAGCCACACATGTTTCAACAGGCTGGACCTGCCACCATACAAGAGTTATGATCAGTTAGTTGAAAAGTTAACCTATGCTGTTGAAGAAACTGAGGGGTTTGCTCAGGAGTAGAATGTTAAAATTCACATATGGCTGGTGTAGCTGACCTGCTGGACATTAGTTGTGATATTTTAATAGCTTTGCAAGGTGTCTTATGTCATCAGTTGTGATGAAGCTGCCTTGAAATCCAAAGGACGTTTAAATGTGCCGATCTGAAGAACACCGAGCAGAGACTGATAATAAATTAATCTAAGTAACATTCCCTCATGACAAAAGTTGGAGACAAGTGTGAGAGTGTTTGATAAACAATTGTTTTTTAAAGAGTTTTGGTTCTAGGGCATCCCAAATGAATTATTTAATTTTTTTGGATACTTGTAAAGATATTGAACTCCAAACATAAGATTTGATGGCACAGTTTATATGTCATAACGAAGAGTGATAACCATAAGTTTATAGTTTATTAATATATATGAAGGCTTTTTTCCCACCAGATGAGTGGAATGTCACTGAGATTCTACACATTAAAGTTTTTCATGATCGGGTTTCAAGAAAAGAAAAGAAACATTCAGCATGATAGTTTTTTTATTATAAGTGGTGTCTATTACAATATCAATTTGCATAAAACTATTCAATAAAGTAATTAGCTTTTAGTTTTTGGAGAACACTGTTCATTTAGGTGCAATGATTCTACTTTTAGTATGTTTATAGTGTTTTGAACCATGTAAGAAAATTTAATTCCATCTTTAACATATCCATCTTTTTAAATTTTAAATTACCTAAAACAGTAGAACATTACAATCTCAGTTTACCTTGACTTCAATAGAAAAGGTTGACTCTTAAACAGGTCAAAAGTTACAAGAAAAAATTCCTGAAAATATTAAAATTGATATGATCCTAGCATTAGCTGTGACCACAAAATATTCTGAATGTCATTGTTACTGTAATTGTGTAAAACAAAAAAGAGAGAGAGAGAGAATTAATATTGAAAAGGCATTGAGAGATTTTAGTTTATTATTTGCAATATTAAAAAGAAAAAAACTAGCATAGAATGAAGTGAAAAGGTATTTCTTAAAATTATACGAGAACTAAAAGAATTAATGTGTAAAAATTAATTAATGTCGAAGATCATTGTTTCAGTACAGGCACAAGCATTATTACTTTTCAGATGTTACCAAATACGAGATCAGATTTAGGCACTCTCCAACTATTTGTCTGCAAATATTTCAGACTGGAAATTACGTTATCTTACACATATGTGGTTATTAATATTTCTACTGAAATGCTAATAAGAATTAGAATAATAATTAGAATAAGTTACCCAACCATCCAGTGAGAGAAATATTTGATTTTCTTCTAGTTGTTTATGTAGTATTAGTGTGGAATTAAAATTGGCAGAATTTAACACCTCATAAATGTTAGAGATAAGATTTAGGAGGCATTATTCTATTTTATAATACACACACACACAATGAAAAATTAGCTTCAATTTCTACTGTTGATTGAATGTTTCTGTACGAACTATTTTAAAATTGTTTAAAATTTTTATTAAAAGTGCAAGTGTTTCTGTGTTGAAGTTACTTTGGTGAAACAGTGAGGCCAAATTCTGTATGATATTACATTTAGTTTACCACCAGAGTGTGATGTAGTTCAAAACTGTAGTAAGCCTTAATAAGTGCAACAGCCCTCTATATTTTTATTTTGGATATTAGCAGAGAAATGGAACGGAGAGTGGATACTGTGGATTAGTGTTAAATAATTATTTGGGAAGTGTAGGTATGCTTGTAATTAATTAATTAATTTAGGGTACTGTGTTAATACAGGTAAATGTATCAAGATTCAGCAATTGAGAATATATTTTTAATATAAAAAGTATCTTTGAAATAAAGCAATAGTTATGAATGTAGAAACACTAAGATGTGAAAAATGCTTGTTCCAAATAATTGTCTATAAACTTGGGTCAGTTATGCTGTTGTGAAAAAAAATAGTAAAAATATATACTAATGACAAGCTAAAAAAAATTGGCCTGTATATAATTATCTTTCATATATTTTGTGTTTATTGTGTAGCTTATCCTAGTACAATGTCTGGTGCTTTATTTAGCTGGATGCACAAGCCTTTAACATCAAGGGTGGGCCAACATTTTGTTAAGTGTCATTTAAAGATCAACAAATGCTAGACGCTGAATAACCATTGGAAAGATTGCATTAGGTACAAAAACCAGTGGTAAGATACATGAAATTGGTGCTTATGATGATAGCATTACTTTTAAAACTGTTCCATTCCTTAAAATGGGAAGTTTGTTGAAGAATGTAGTTTTTTCCCCTTCCATTACAATGTAGAACTTCTGTAATTAACACAAAGGAAATTAAGCAAAAGGTTTTAGATATGGTAATACAATATGCTAAAGAAAACAAGGTCTTTTATATGGTAGTAGACCTGTTGTAACTAAAACAAAAGGTGAGCCATTTTGTAAGTTTAATGGGGCTGTGACAACACAGACATGGTTAGTCCTAAGGCTAAAGTTAACTTTGTTGGTCTAGACTCTACAGACATTTGCTCAAATTTAACCTGTTTGTTAAGAAAGGCATATTTTTTGTGATGATTTAAGTATGTTGGACTTTCCAGGAAATGAATGTGTTATAGGTATTTAAGGAGAGAGAGAGAGAGAGACTTCTCTGTGTTAATGTAGAAACCAGAATATAACTGAACAACTTTCATTTTCTCTTGGAATCATGCAGTAACATTTGTAAGATATGGATTGTGTTTTAATGAATGATTGTTAACTTTTGTCTATGTTTACTGTTTGTAAATAATGTGAAGTAAACAGTTGAGAAAATTATATTATTACAACAAAAACAACAGCACTGACATATAAGACATATTAAGTTAATATTATTTTTGAACACTAACTGCAGAAGGAGGTAATTTTGAGTTAGCTTGCTGAAAAACTTCAAATATTTTTTTTTCAACATGTTAAGTTTAGGTGGTCAAATTTGCAGAACTTATATGTGATATTTGTTATTAATTAGAATTAATTTGGTATTTTAAAACTTCATTAAGTGTGTTGATACATCACTTAGTGTTTTCAAGTCATACTTACCAGTTTTTTGTAGAAAAATCCTTTTCAAATTAATTTTGTTTGTAACTCTGACTGTGTAATATCAGTGTAAACGTCGGTAAAACAAGAATGCTGTTGATTTGTAATTGAATATAAACACATTAAGCAAAAAATTGATGCTCTGTGTAAAGCCAAAATTTATGGAAACTTACTGATAAACAGATGTCATAAGAAGTCAATGTTAAACAGATCGTCATGCAAAAACGTTTCTAGCATATCGTTGCCCAGTAGAACTTGACCATTTTGCCATGACCTTGTTATTTAAAATGGACATTGCAAGGCTGTTCCAGACTCACTCCGAATACATAGTCTGTGCATGAGGAAGAATGATACCATGATCGGTACTGAATCACTGAATTTTGTTTGGCCATTTAATCAATTCTGATAGAGCACCTTTTTTTTTCACTTGGTGATGATCTTGAACACAGTCCTTGGATACCTTGTAACCCCAGTCTAATGTATTGAAAACCAAGCTTGTTCCTTAGCCTCACCACCTTAATATGATAACGTATAGATGATATGCACACATTAAGTTAATTTCATCATCCCTAGTCTCACTGCAAGGGATTTATCTTAGAAAACAATGTTATTAACACAGCTCTATTTCAAAACAGTTGATATTTTTCTGTGTATCTAGTACTTTATTCAATGTCGTTTCAACTTGGTGTGGTGTAATAAATTACTAGCATTTTATCGTTTATTTGTTGTTTTACAAAGTCTGAGGTCTTTACCACAGGGAGAAAAATAAATGTAATCTAAGCCTCATGTTTCTGATAACCAAAAAATAGTGTGAATTAGGTATTCCACAAATGGTCAGATTTTAAATATTCTTGTTTCTTTTTTCAAAGCAAGATTCCACATGTTTAGAACCACAGGATCTTTGAGGAAAAATATTTTGAGTTTTTGAAAAAATTCACTAACATATGAGTTGTTTTTTCCTAGCCGACTGAGGTGTACATTGCTTCTGGAGTTACAGAAGTGAGAACCTCGCATGTATGAAGACTTTCAAATTAATTCTTGATGAGAAAAGATGCCCTAAAATTTGGACTCTAGGACTACTTACTAAATATGCTTAATCTGTTTGTTGTACAGAAATAGTCTAAATCCTAAAAATAAATTACATTATTTCCAATAATTCTTGTGCCTTATTTTTTCATTGTTTTTCCTTTAAATTGTAAGCTGTTTCATAAAAGAAAGATAAATTTCACTTAATTTAATTCACGATTTTGAATTTGAGACAATTAGTAATAATATAAAGTATTTTCTGAAACAATACATAGTCTAATGTTGACAATAAAAGAAGCTTGCATGAACAGTTTTTTTGTGTGTGTGTGTGTGTGTGTGTGTGAATGATAAAAATTTATTAGTAGTTAATTTAATAATCAGGATTTCACGTAATTGCAGGTTTTACTTTTAACAATTAATTTTCCAGTCCTCAATGTCAGATAGTGTAAATACATTTATCTTTTTTCTTTGTCTGTGTCCACTTTGTGTTTCAGTCATGATTTCAAGGATTTTAAGCAGTGCCTTTTTGTGTTTTACAGGATGATATGAGAAAGTTTATTATGGCATAAGAAGAAAGTGCTTTGAATATTAAAATCACTTGTACGATCTCAATGCTTAATATTCTTTTTTGAAAACCTTTATTCACAAAAATATATTTCAACTGTTATATATATATATACATCCAAATACTTTAAAATGTGAGTTTAAAATGAGGATGATAATAATGACATAATATTACTGTACTGGCACACAACAAGAAAGCCGAAGAGATTCTGAAGGTAATGGTTTCATGACATTTTAATGGAAAATAAGCAGCATGGGAAATACCACCACCTTGTCAAAGAACTGGATTTCGATTCAGAAAGAGTTTGGTGTTGTACATGCTCGTGTACACACTCGGTAACATGATTGTCTTTGTGTTGTTTTTTATTTTACTCTTTGAGCTGACCAGTATTTCATCTGCCCAAGTGACTTACAGCATCCTTGCTTCTTTTGTTAGTGACCAGTAACAAATATTTTTTCAAAATATACATATTATCAATGCCTAGAATTTTACCAATAGATGTCCAAATATCCGTAGTCAAATTAACCTTTACTTGTTGGATTATAAACATTCATGTTTCCTGACCTTCAATAAGGTTGCTATATGTATATCCACATATAACGTGTAAAAACATGCTGGTAAATTCGCTGGATGTAATATCGGCGGGTTCGTGTGTAATTGGATTGTTAAAACTGGTGCTGGAGAAGTGTTGTCCTTGTACACTGAGTGGATTATGGAAAGTGTGGGTGAGGGGTAGTATGATTTGGACCTGACAGCTTTACGACGGAGCCTCTACAATGCTGCAGGGCTATTATCGTCGAGATGTACGATCGCCAGATAGAGAATGTAGTAGTAGTATGTTGAAATCAACAGACGTAAACTTTCAAGTGACACTAGGAGTCGCTTTAGGCACATTATCTAATCTTACGTTATTAAGGTATACTTTTACTATCATCATCACTTTAATTAAAGGCATTTTGAAAGTATTTGTCATTCCACTTTTGTTTTGTCGTCATAGAAATGTTACCAACGTATTTTCGCAAGTTATTGATAAAAATCGAACATTTTAAAATCAATTTTCACTACTATTAAAAAATCCATTTTTGATATTCGCATTATGATTTGTAGATTGGTACAGTTTTTATTTTGATTTACGACATGAAGACACACTATAGTGTGTCGTGCGGCCAAAACAACCTGCAGGACACACTGTGTTATTATCAGGAGTGATAATTTATCGATTTTCCACCTTCTTTAGCTCGGACTGTGGTAATCCAAACTATAACATATTTTCAGAGAATATGCTCTACTGGAACCTTTGCTTCGAATACTAATTTCAAGGCAACCCATTAAGAAATACATGAGATATAAAATATTTAATTTTGATTGAATTTACCCTATTTTTTTTCTTCGCACCAAAAGTACGGAAATTTAATTTGATAGAAAGGCATACTTTTATTGATTTTTTTTTATTTAATTTGGTACACAGACAGACCTTTACAACCTACAGTTAGGTGTCAAATTGGGTCTAAATTAAAGCCACATGTACAAAGTTATTCAACAAAAACCGCCGAAATTTGACCAAAATTTTTGCGCACACTTACACAGAAAGTCGCATAGCTGTCGGTCTAAAATTTTTGTCACAGCTTCAATGAAGAGTAAAAGTGGACTATTTTTAGGTTGTTTTTTTTTTTTTATTTCATTCAGATTAAAGATGACTGATTTAGAGTACCAAAGCTATAGGGTGAAATGACATGGAGATGTATATACATAAGTATTGGTTAGGCCAAGCAAAACTCAAAATTTATTTGAGAGAAAAACATTCTTAATTAACTTTTATGGATTTTTTTTTAAAATTTGTACACTGATAGATCTTTACGACCTATAGTTAGGTGTCAAATTTGGTGTAAATAAAATTTAGTTAGGCCGCGTATTTTGTTTAACCCACCATCATTCCCCTAGTTGAACAAAAAACGCGGCCTGGCTAGCTAATGAATGAATAGATGCTGTAAAATTCTTACCAATGCTGTAAGTGTAGCTACCAGTTCCTCATTCCTTTAAATCGCACGCTCACTCCATTTTTGGCCTCACCTTTTTCTCACACCTAAGGTGTTTTTGATTAGATAGGTCCTACCACGAAATAAAGTTACTAAAACATTCAAATATTGCCACACAGGGTCATCAAAGTTTGTTAGTCGCAAGCCGGCGCTACTATTAAATATAGCAATATTGTTGCGTCATCGAGATCATGTGATTCTCACGCTCTCTACTTTCTAGAATTATCCTGTACTTTGGCGAATGTTCTTGTTCTTACTAGATATAGGGTAGGCTGGTACATAAAAGAGGGGAAGATAATCTGCGATACACTTAATCTCAATACTCGCGCTAAAACAAATACTATAACGAACGAACGTTAACTTCAACAATACCCTGTGACTGCAGTTCAATTACTCACTGTCTACACACACACTGGTTTATTCTTTCCGAATATAACTTTCATTAAGTAAAGACTTGTGTCGCTTAAGTTTCGTCGGAACGAAGTTACGGAAAATCAATTAACAAACGGAGACGTAACAATATTATTGCAGCTGGAGAAAGCATCATCAGTCTTTTTTTTTTAAGATATATATATCGCATTAATACGCTAGATGGCAGGGCCATTACAGTTGACCAACCCACAGTAGTGTTGACTGGTCTAACTGGTAATAAAATTTTATAGTTCTACCTACCATATGAAAACGATCCCACAGATAGAAATTCAAAGTACTGTACATGTTTTTATAAGTAGTTCTTTAGATTTAAGAAAATAGTTTTTGCACAAAAACTGTCCTGTTTACTAAATATTGATATAAGAGTTTTCTTTTTAAATGTATAAGTTAAAACAACAACTACAAGAACAAAACTCGAAAGAAAACAAAAAGTTTTTAAAATCAATTTAATAAAAAGAATCTTCATATGGATGCTACTAGACCACAAACAATACATTTTGAAATAGTTTGGGTCAAACGTGTTTGAATAGTTATAGTGTGCCGGACTTTGAACCTGTGGGTTTAGCGTTCGTGTTCCGTTACCAAAATAATAATAATAATAAATCAATACAAAATGTCCTTCGCACATTGAGGCCATGCGTACGTCAAAAAGGTGGCGGTCAAACAATGGTGATGGATGCTATGGAGTAGCTGTATTGCCTATGGTCAATTTAAAATTACGAACGACTAGCGCAGATAACTCTCGAGTTCCTTTGTGTGAATAATCGAAAACGAACAACATTTTTGAATGTTTTATAATTTTGATTATAATGGGATATTCTGTATGGGAATACACGAATAGAAATACTCTATGTGTTACCCAATGACTGTAAAGAACACGAACATTTGTAACACTACAGCTCATCACTTTCCGTGTATTCCAGTTTGGGATACGCCTTTTAAGACCTGTATCTAAAGGTTAACACTGATATTCCGCAACTTAAAAAACAAAATAAACTTACAGATATACAGACCTGTATCCAGAAGTTAACACTGAGAGGAAAATAAACCCCGAGATAAATTAAGTACACTAAACATGGCGATAGGCCCGGCATGGGCAGGTGGTTAGGGCGCTCGACTCGTAATCTGAGGGTCGCGGGTTCGAATCCCCGTCGCACCAAACATGCCACCCTCCGCCTTTGCTTGGTCCCAAGTCCAGGATGAGAAAGGAGGAGGGTTGGGCGCGGGGCTAACAACTCCACCCCATAAAAAAACAACCTGTTACAAGTAACTGCAACAACAACTTTCCGTTGGTGAGGTGTTGTTACGGCCCTATGCTCCACTGGGAGTTTATAGGAATAAAAAACAAACAAAAAACATGGCCATAAACAGACTTGTATCCAGAGGTTAACACCGAAATTCCGCAACTTCAAAAAAACAAACATAAATACAACAGGTAAAAAGACCTGTGATTAGTAGTGAGACACTGCAACTTAAAAACAAAACTCTGTATCCAGAGTTTAAAATTTACTGCCGAAATTATCGTTAACAGAGAGTGCACAAAGGCTGTTATAGAATAAAGCCACAACGGGGACTCGAACTCCATATCTTAGGTATAATTACTTGGTATATATATATATGTATCAGTTCTAATCTATGTAGATAGCTTTTTTTTTATCGGGAGTTAACATTAATCAAAATCCTTCAAATTAAATACTTGTAGATAAACAGATCTATATCCTTAATAAAAAAAATCAACATTCCGCACTCAGTGATTATTCTAAGCCTTTTAGTAATAACATTTCAGACTGTAGATTAGTATACAGTAAATAATTCAGTT